TTCTATTTATAATGAAGAATATAAGTAAATTTAATTGAATTGTGAACCACAATCCTCAATATGTCCTGTATTAGCTTTTTAAGAAGTTCCAAGGGATGGGAATGTGGCTTACTAGAGTACTTACCTAGCATGCATGAAGCCCTAGGATTGGCAAAAACAAAAACAACAACAACAAACAACAACCCAAAACCCCCCAGAAGTCCCAAGAATATAAAGGTATTCCATGACTTCTTTGTGATGTAGAGAGCATGTGAAAAACTGCTGTCAGAACCACTAGAAAGTGAAAGACATGGGTAATGTGGGTGACAGGCATTCCAAAAACAAAGGTGTCACTGGTGTTGGAAAGCCAGTCCCACAGAGACTTGGGACGTGTACTTCCTAGGCATTGAAGGATGTATATGATTCACAGTAGAAAAGACAGTATGCTGGAAAGCTTAAATAAAGCTCACAAAGGGCTGATGTAAACTTGATCGACACTGAATAGTCCAAAACAGTTTCTACCAAGGATTTCATTGTAGAAGTGAGAAAACAGGATTGAGAGAATGACAATATTGGGACTATAAAGGTGGGGTGAGAAATGGTGGGTTTATACAGGTATTTAGGAGCTATAAAATATCAGCTGGAAAGTAATAATAGCAACAATATTTTTGGAAGATTGATTTGGTTTCAGACTTGCCTTAGCTATTTTTCTAAAGTGAGAAAGAAGTATAGTTATATCTTAGAGAAAGAGGGAGTTTGAGATGTAGGAAGGGAGAACCATGAAGATCACTGTATTCACGGAAAGGAGAAGTTGAAAGTGACCTTAGTTTCGAAAAATCACAACAGAAATAAAAACCAAGTGCTTTAGCTTTAAATAGTGTTTTTCTGTTAGGAACCTCCTTGAAATAATTGATAGTCAACACTTCCTTTTATTACAGATAGCGAAATTGAATGTTTAAAGGACTTGACTACTTGTATAAGTGATAGAGCTGGAAATTGAGCTCATATTTTTTTTTCTTTCTTCTTAACTTGACATCCTAATCAGTTGCCTAACCCAGCACTTCAGTTTTTCATGACTCTCTATCACTACACAATTAGTCGCTTGTTTTATTATTTTTATTTCCCAAACATTTCTTAGATCTACCTACTGTTCTCGATAGAACCTCTGCCTTTGTTCAAGGAACTCCTGTCTTTGTGGATTAATGTATTTCTGAATTTATATCTAATCTATACCTTGTACCATACTTTCTATGACAAGCAAATAAAAACATTTGTTAATAAGTCTGACTTCCAAAGTGGCGTTGTGGCTCAAGTGGTAGAGCCCTCATCTTGAGCAGAAGAGATCAGGGACAGCGCCCAGGCCCAGAGTTCAAGCCCCATGACCGGCCAAAAAAAAAGAAAAGGTCTGACTTCTACTGGGCACCAGTGGCTCATGCCTATAATCCTCGCTACTCAGGAGGTTGAGATCTGATGATCGTGATTTGAAGCCAGCCAGGGCAAAAAGGTCCCCAGGAGACTCCCCAATAAACTAAAAAAAGCTGAAAGTGGGCACTGTGGCTCAAGTGGTAGAGCACTAGCCTTGAGCACAAAGAGGCTCAGGGCAGCACCCAGTCCCTGAGTTCAAGCCCCAGGACTGGCAAGAAAAAAAGTCTGTTAATGCTGTCATCCCCTGGGTGGTACTTCAGTGGAGATTAATTGCAAACATTCCTTGCTTAAAGGTCTGAGAAGCACTAGCAACATTTGGCTATAATTGTTTGCTAGTCAATAACTTCTAGGTCTAACCCCAGCCAAAGATGACAGCAGAAAAACATAATTTACACTGTGATTTATATTTTTGCTGAGGGGGTGGGGAATGTAAAATGTTTTGAAAATTAACTGCTACCTTTGTGGAAAGTTTCAGCAAAGGTTCTTGTATAGTGGGAATAGGGAATTTCAAAATAAAAAATTAAGTATATTCTGTGTTTTCATTTAAAAAAATTTTTTTATAAAGTCTGACTTCCTCCAATTTAGTCATTGAGGTATTTCTAAATCCAGAATAATGTAGTACTTAAACCTTGAAAAATCAAAACTTCTTAGTCTGGTCTCATGAGCTCTTCTCAATCATGTCGAGGCCTCTGGTTCCATAATTACTTTTTTTTTTTCCTGTTAATATCTGTTGTTTCTACAAGCAGTGTCCTTGTCACACTTTACTCCACCTTGAACCTCATATTTTTGCTTAGGGTGTCTATTATATTGTCTTTGACCACTCTTCCTTTCTTCCTTTCCCTCTATCCCACCATCCTACCACTCTACCTCTAGAAGACTCAGTTCTCACAGGTTCATTGAGGACAGTAACTATGTTCTACTTGCAAATAGTCCCACAGAAATTGAGCGAGTGAATGTTTTTATTTTTTTATTTCTATTTTTTGGAGGGTCCGGTCGTGGGGCCTGAACTCTGGGCCTAGGCGCTGTCCCTCAGCTCTTTAGCTCAAGGCTAGTGCTCTACCACTTGAGCCACAGCGCCACTTCCGGCTTTTTTTCTTTTTGCTTATGTGGGGCTGAGGAATCGAACCCAAGTCCTCATGCATGCAAGGCAAGCACTCTACCACTGAGCCACCTTCCCAGCACCCTGAATGTTTTTATACTGTAGAATTTTGAGGTAGATATGGCTTCAGTGGAGAATGAAGAGTGAAAGGGTAATTGAAAAACAATTAGGTCATCACATCCCAATGTCTGAGTGTTGCTCAGAGCATTTGTATCCACCTGGATATTGGATGAAATGTACTAGTGAGTGGTACAGACAAAATTTTAGTTTTGGATAGTCACAGTACAACATAAGGGCTATCAATACGTATACTTGCAGAAGGCTACTGTAGAAAACTTCGTTTTTAACCTATCATTTTTCTAATATATTTAGTTATGGAAACTTTTTAGATAGGGTACCTTTCTTTTGGGATTTGAGAAATGCAGAATTTGGTGGTCATTTTTGTTCTTTATTTCCCTCCAATCTAGTTAATATAATTGAAAAACATAATCAGATCTTCCCTAATGGATATTTGGAGGAACTCTGGTAGTTTGCAGTCACAGTAGAGAATCTGGGGGGAAGATAAAGCAATCGTCAAATATTTAAAGCGTCCAATAGAAAAGAAATTAAAGTCTTTTAAACAAGAGAATTGGAAAATAAGCAAGTGCGTGTACGTGCTCGTGCACATACATGTGCACATTCCCTGAGCTGTTTTGCTCAGGGCCAGTAGCCCTCTGCCATTTGAACCACGATTCTACTTTGAACATTTTGGTGGCTAATTGGAGATGAGAGTCTTTACAGACTTTCCTGCCTGGACTGGATTTGAACCACGATCTTCAAATCTTAACCTGAATAGCTAGGATTACAAGCATGAGCCAGCAGCACCTACCTAGCCCCAGGAGAGGTTTATAAAGGTGGATTTTTAGATAGAGTAAGGGTAATGCCCCAGAAAATGAAACTTGTGCTTTAGAAGAAAAGTAAGTTTTGGCTGGGAATGTGGCTTAATGGTAGAGTACTTGCCTAGCATGCATGAAGCCCTGGGTTTGATTCCTCAGTACCACATAAACAGAAAAAGCAGGAAGTGGCACTAAGGCTCTAGTGATAGAGTCCTAGCCTTGAGCAAAAGAAGCTTAGGGACTGTGCCCCGGTCCAGAATTCAAGCTCCAGGACTGGCCAAAAAGGGAAGAAAAGTAAAGTAAGTTTTGTCTATGAAGGTTGTCAGGCAATGATCTATAGAGATGCTTTAGAGAAGTTTTGCATATCAAATAAAGAATAGTGAGCAGTGGCTCACACCTATAATCCTAGCTACTCCGGAGGCGGAGAGCTGAGGATTGCAGTTCGAAGATATCCTGTCTAAGAAAGTCTATGTGCCGCATCCCAGTTAACTAGCAAAAAGCTGAAAGTAAAGCTGTGTCTCAAATGGTAGAATGCCAGCCTTGAGCCAGAAAAGCTAAGGGGTGTAACAGAGGCCCTGAGTTCAAGCCTCAGTACTAGCAAGAAAGCAAATAAGGGATAGAAGAGTAATTTTCTGAAACAGTTTTGAAAAACATTAAAATCAAGTTGTCAGATACATACTAACTTTAGGAATTTATATTTCTTGATTCCTTTTAAATTATATGAATCTATATATTTTCTGAAATACCAGTGTTGAAACCAATAGGAGGTATCAGAAACAAGCAGATTAAAAGTTTTGGATGTACAGTGTTATTTACTGTTTAAATGATTGATTGTCTTACTAGGGAATGAATTAGACTTTGTATATGCTAGACAAGTAAGTACTCTAGTACTGAGCTCATCTCCAACCTGATGTTTTATTGTTTTAAAATAGATTTAATTTTTGGAGGGGGAGCAGTTTTCTGTTCACAGAAAAATTAGGCAGAAAATTCTTAGTATTCACATATACCTGCTGTTCTTATAAATGCACAACTTCCCCTACCTATACTATGGTGGTACATTTGTGAAAACTAATGAACCTACAATGACTGTGGTTGACACCATAGTCTGTAGTTTACATTAGAGGTCATTCCTTATGGTAGTTGAAAGAAAATAGGAATATTCCTTCTTACCTTAAAGAATGTTTTCAGTCATTTATTGCTCTAATTCATGTTGTTGTTGTTTTTTGATTCAGAGATCTAAAAATTAGAATTATTGTCATCTATTTTGAAAAGGGATTAGGGAAAAGTTCTCTCTTTTTTTTTTTTTTCGTCAGTTTTTGGGCTTAAACTCTGGGCCTGGGTGCTAACCCTGAGCTCATCAGTTCAAAGCAAGTGCTTTACCACTTGAGCCACAATGCCACTTCTGATTTTCTGGTGGTTAATTGCGAGATAAGAGTCTCATGGACTTTACTGTCTGGGCTGGCTTTAAACCATGATCCTCAGATTTCAGCCTTCTGAGTAGCTAGGATTTACATGTGTGAGCCACTGGTGACTGGCAAAAGTTCTCTTTTATTATAATCTTAAATGTTTATAAATAATACTTGTATTATGCTGACTAACTAATTTTTCTTCTTCCTTTTAAGTACCAAAAGAATTGGTGGAACTCCATTTGAAGTTGATGAGAAAGATTGGCAAATCTGTTACAGCAGACAGATGGGAAAAATACTTAATTAAGGTAACCCTTTATAAACTACTTTATCAGTGAAATAATATTACTCTAGTATAAATAGACATTTACATCTCATAATATCTTTTGAAATAGTTTTCTTGAATTAACAAAATATGACTCCTTCATATTACTACTGTAATTTAAGTGTGTGATTCTTTTTCTTTTCCTTGTTACTAAACAGTAGTCTTGAGTCCTACTGTTAGGTTTTATTGTTATATCTCTTTTGTGTGCAGGCTGTGTTTTGTGATAGGATTTCACTATGTAGCTTAGGCTGGGCTTGAACTTGTAATCCTCCTGCCTCAGTATTCTGAGTTGGGATTACAATTGTACACCACCACAGTTGGCTCTGCCTAAAATGTTGCTCAGGATTTTTTATATCTTCTCCCATTTAATCTTTAGGATTATCTTTATCAAATCGAACAAAATACAAATACACAGGAATGTTATCATTTTTGTTTGTGATCACCCAATGTAGTAGGCAGTGGTAGAAAAAGATAAAACATTCAAAGTCCATTAAGTCAATTTAAAACTCTTCTAAGTTATCCACAACACCAAACTTGTTAATGAGGATAACCTGAGTAATCATCTTTAGTTTAGGCTCTATTACCAGACAGCATTTGGAGTTGTATCCAAATGCTAAAACTCACATAACTGATTGAAACATAATTTTCTTGTTTACTTTAAAAATATGTTTATGAGCCTGGCGCTGGTGGCTCACGCCTGTAGTCCTAGCTACTCAGGAGGCTGAGATCTGAGGATCGCGGTTCAAAGCCAGCCCGGGCAGGAGAGACCGTGAGACTCCTATCTCCAATAAACCACCAGAAAACCGGAAGTGGCGCGGTAGCTCAAGTGGTAGAGCGCTGGCCTTGAGCTGAAGAGCTGAAGGACAGCGCCCAGGCCCAGAGTTCAAGCCCCACGACCGACAAAAAAAAATAAATAAATAAATAAAAATAAAAATATGTTTATGTACACTTAAAATTTCATTTCTGTTCTTTTTGGGGAAGGTTATGAATATAGTATGGTATGAAAAGAGAAACCATCAGGGACAAAAATAGTTTTTATTATAAATAGTCTAAGTGCTCATCCAGTTATCTTTTTTGTATTGTACACCCCTACAAATGAAATAACATTAAACAGCAATCATTTTTCAGCTGGTTGATTGTGGCTCAGGACAATAATTCTAGCTACTATGGAGGTTCAGATTTGAAAATTCAAATTCAAAGCCAGCCTGGGAAGCCACTTACCTTAAATTAACCAGCAAAGAGCCAGAAGTAGAAGCATGTCTTATGAAGTACAGGGCCAGCTGTGAATGAACAAGTTAAGCCAAAGGTAGAAGCCCTGAGTTTAAGCACCAGTACTCTCTCTCTCTCTCTCTCTCTCTCTCTCACACACACACACACACACACACACACACACACACAATCATTTAAATCAGTTCAGTGGCTCTCTAGGTCAGGAACTTAGGTCAGTTCCATCATAATGTGTTGACCTACCAGTGTCAAGGGAAAGTAGCTTCTAATATTAATTAATATTATTGTCTAACTTTAAAAAATATGTTTTGCACAAATTTAAAGCACTGCAAAGTTGGCTTAGCATTTAAAATATTTGATACGAGATTCTCTGAAAGAAGTAATAATTGACTCTTTGAAATATATTAAACTGTGAATGACTGTTAGACATAGCTCTGGATGTTGGGTTGTCAAATAGGAATAGGGACACCAACTGGAAAGGAACTGGGCAAGGCAACTTTTACTTCAGCAGAAGGGTACGACATCTGCTAGGAATCTGGTAAGCAAGCACACAGAGCAGGCAAGCTGCTCCTTTTTTAATCCCTCTCCTAATAGGTTAGGCCCATTTGGGCCTCAGTTCTTTTGTAAGGTAGAATTGAGATGACAAGCCAGATACCACGAAGACATCTGTGTTCATTGCTGCATTATATGGTATCTATACACAATAATTTTATATAGCCATTAGAAAGAATATTATGTCACTTTCAGGGAAATGGATGGACCTAGAACAAATCATGTTAAGTGAAGTAAGTCAAGCTCAGAGAGAGAAACAGCGTGTTTTCTCTTATGTGAGCATAGATCTAAAAATACAGTGGGACAAGATAAATTATATAGAACTCTAGGCATTCATCCACAGCGAGACCAAAGGAGGATAGTCAAGAGAAAAACATAAAGGCATGCAATCTTTATGTACATCTGACCATATAAAATAACATCAAAATGAATTCTAGGAAATGGAAACAAGATTTTTTTTTCCTTTGTTTTTTTTGTATCTTTTCTTTTTGTCCTGTTGGTTTGTTATCTATCTGTCTTTGGGAGGGCACAGAGGGGCACAGAATGGAGGGACAAAGGGAGAACAAATGCAGCAGTGATACTCACTAGACTATGTTGAAAATGAACATATAACTTGTGGGTGAAGATGGGAGGAGTCAAGTGGTAGAGCAAGGGAAACGGTGACATTGTCCAAAAAGAAATATATTCATTACCTGACATAAGTAACTGTAACCTCTTTGTATTTCACTTTTATAATAACAGTACAAGCCGGGCGCTGGTGGCTCACACCTATAATCCTAGCTACTCAGGAGGCTGAGATCTAAGCTGAGATCTGCAGTTCAAAGCCAGCGGGGGCAGGACAGACCTTGAGACTCTTATCTCCCAATTAACCACCAGAAAACTGAAAGTAGAGGTGTGGCTCAAGTGGTAGAGTGCTAGCCTTGAGCAGAAGAGCTCAGGGACAGCGCCTAGGCCCAGAGTTCAAGCCCCATGACTAACCAAAAAAGAAAATTGAGATGACATGATTTTTATAAGACAGACTCTCCACTTCTGTGGTTGTGCTTCTAGTTCCAATTTTTTGAATTGAGACATAATCACATACCACAAATTTGCTCTTTTCAAGTTATAATACACTAGTTTTTATTATGTTCACAAAGTTTTGTTGCTATCACTTCATGTCTAAGGCCTTGCCTAGCCTTAAGTGAAAGTTTTGTTTTAGTTTATTTATTATTTATTTATTTTAGTAGTGCTAAGGATTGAATCCAGGTCTTCGTTGCCACTAGGCTATTCCCTGGCCCCTAAAATGAGATTAACTTCTCTATTTTGTTGAGTTCTCTAGTTCAGGCTCCTAAATTTAGAATTATGATTGTTTTTATGTATTCTGTGAGATAGGAGTCAAATTATATTCTTTTTTTTTTTTTGTGGAGGGGTGGTCCCGTCGTGGGGCTTGACCTATGGGCCTGGACGCTGTCCCTCAGCTCTTCAGCTCAAGGCTAGCACTCTACCACTTGAGCCACAGAGCCACTTCCGGCTTTTTTCTTTTTGCTTATGTGGTGCTGAGGAATCGAACCCAGAGCCTCAGGAATGCAAGGCAAGCGCTCTACTACTGAGCCACCTTCCCAACCCCTCAAATTATATTCTTGACATAGGGATATCCAGTTGTTCTCGCGCCATTTGTTGACAAGACAATTCTTTACCCTTATTGAATTACTTTGACATCTTCATAAAATTTTTAAAATATTTGATGGTGTATTTCTGAAGTCATCCTCATCAGTGTGTATCATATTCTACCGTACCAAATTACTGTTGCTGGTTCCTTGGTTCTTTGTACAAGAATAAAATAGTTCTTTTCCTATAGTTTTTCCTCACTCTCTTACTCTATCACTTTTATTTCCTCCCTAGTATTATTTTATTCTCTAAAATTGTATTTACTTTGTGTGTGTGTGTGTATGCATGTGTGTGTATGTGCACATACATGTCATCGTCCTGGGTCTTCAACACGGGTGCTGGGTGCTGTTCCTGAGCTTCTTTTTGCTCACAGCTAGCACTCTACTACTTGAGCCACAGCACCTCTTCTGGCTTTTTCTGTTTATGTGGTACCGAGGAATCGAACCTAGGGCTTCATGCATGCTAGGCAAGCACTCTACCACTAAGCCACATTACCAATCCTCCCTGAGCATTTCTGCTCACCACTAGAGCTCTGCCACTTGAGGTCTAACTCCATTCCCAGCTTTTTGGTGGTTAGAGAGGAGAGTCTTACAGACTTTTCTGCCTAGGCTGGCTTTGAACTATGATGCTCAGAACTCAGTCTCCTGAGTAGCTAAGATTACAAGTGTGAACCCCTGGGTCTAGGCTGAAATTGTGTTTACTTTTAAAATGAAGGTCCTAGCCTTGAACTCAGGGCCTGGGTGCTGTCCTTAAGCTTTTCTGGTCAAAGCTAGCAGCTTCCCACTTGAGCCACAGCTCCATTTGCAGCTTTTCCTGATTAACTGGCAGTAAAGAGTCTCATAGACTTTCCTGCCTGGGTTGGCTTTAAACCACAATCCTCAGATCTCAGCCTCCTGGGTAGCTAGGGTTATAGGTGCCAGCCACTAGTGCATAGTTTGTGTTTCCTTTTTAAGAATCAAAGCTCTGTGATAGGATTTTTGTCAGTCTCCATAACATTTTTAGGACCTAAGCCAAGGGCCTCATACATAGCTGTCATTCAATAAATCTTTGCTAATTCTGTTACTAGATGAATATATACAATGCGTTTCCTGGAAGTGCCTTTAGTAACAGCAGCAATATCAGATAATATATATTGTTTTATAATTTTTCTTTTATTTTTCTATATCTTCCCCTTACCTTACACACTCCTATATACAAAAGTTGCAAATTCTATGAGATTAGGAAACAATATAGTTTTTCATATTTTGCCATCAAAGGCTATACCTTAAAAAATGACATACAAAAATAAATGTTATATACTCATTGTAAATGTTGAAAAAGATTAAGTTCATATTTTTATCAGATGACAATTTTTGGTATTCAGTATTACTTTTGAGGTTTTTTTTTTTTTTTTTTTTTTTTGGTGCAGTTCTTGGGGTTGAACTTGGCCTAAGTGCTGTCCCTAAGCATTTTTGCTCAAGGTTAGTGAGCCAGATCTCCACTTGAGCCAGATCTCCACTTCTGGCTTTTGGTACTAAATTGGAGATAAGAATGTCAAAGACTTTCCTGAGGTTGCTT